TTGCGGCCATTTTGGAAAAAAATATTAAACAAAAAATTTTTTTGTACACCTCATTATATGTATAATGAACCCTTTATACAGCATTTTGATTGTTTTATTGCTTCATGGGGAAAAAAATCCCCGAAAAAAAGGTCTATTTTAAGAGACGTCTGATAGATGTAACCCCTTAACACCCCTAGTAGCACGACATATTGGCGCCATATTGAGAAATGTGTAAATCTAATATTCCCAACATTGGTTCAATATTGTAAGACGGACGCCTCCTCTTATTTAGCCAATATGTCTACTTAGCAATACTGGTCTAATATTTGATCAATATATTATACCAATATTCATATTGTCCCACACAGCACAGAAAGATTGCAGAAAGATTGCAGAAAGAATGTAGAAATGTTACATTGCAAGATTGCAATATTGCAGCAACGTTGCGCAACATTGCTGCAACGTTTCTGGAGGATTGCAGCAACGTTGAAATGTCCGCCCTCGGAGAGATTGCAGTGCAACATTATAGCATTTGAAACATTGCTGCAATATTGCTATCGAAAGTTTGCAATTTTATATCCCTGCAATGCCTCTGCAAGATTGCACTGCAATCTGCAAGATTGCAACGTTTCTGCAATGTAACTGCAACCATCTGTGCTGTATGGGAATATTCTTTGCCAATGTTTAGCCAATCCACTGTGCTACTAGGGACCGTATGTAAGCCTTTAGATTTTTAAACGTGATATTTTTCTCACATACTTAGAATTAAATTGTTGTGTGAGAATCCATCGATCTTCCCTTCGGTGTCTAAAATCGATCAATTCTCTTAATATTGTCTAAGAAATAGTTTTCACCGGACACTTTAAAATGAAATTTCCGCGTAACGCTCCATCAATCTTCCCTTCAACGCACCGCAACGCGCGGGAAAACATTCGAAATCACCTTTCTGAAACGCTTGAAAAATAAATGCACACAAACACGCCGCAGATACAGCACATTCTCCCCAACGACGAGACGGCGGTGGAGTCGAGTCCGACGCACATTTTGAAAAATCGCCCGAAATACCAGACCTCGAACCGTCGCCCGACCACGAAGACGTTCACGACGACGACGACGAGCACGACGACGGAAGCCGTGCCTGTTGCGACGACGATGCCAGACGACGCCGTGTACGCTGTAAAATCGAGAACGAGAGCGGACGAGCCGAAATCAACGAGAGCGCGAGGAAGAATTCGCCGGCCGGGGAAGAAGCGCACCACGACGACCACGGAATCTGGCCTCGAGGCGAACAACGAATTGCCGCTGGACGAGAACTACCCTCGAATAACGCCGCAACAGCTGCCGGTGACGGCGAGCGGACAACAGCCTCTCTACGACGATAATTTCGACGTCGCGCCGCAATTCGTGCCGAATCAGAATCGACCGACACAGTTTTACGAAGAGAACAGCGAAAGCGTAAGTGACTTCCTTGATAGCGTCACGAGGCAAAGACACGAGATAATACACTATAATTTAAATTATTAAATACATAGACATGATAAGGAGCGTATGTGCTAATCGTAAGATATATTTAAATCACTCACAATCAGTCGATTGGAAAATATCCTTCTAAAATTATTTTCTCTTCGTTGCTATTGAGATCTCGCTGAATTTAATTAAATGTCCTAATAGTGTCTCATGATATCTAATCCTGAAAATCATCAGACCTTCGGAGATTTGACACTTTCCTTCAATGCTTGAGATAATCTATTGAGATCTAACTAAATTTAATTAAATGTCCTACTAGGACACAGTTGGATCTCAATAGATAATCTCGAGCGTTGAAGGAAAGTATCAAATCTCTGAAGATCTGACGACTTTTAGAATTGGACCCCATGAGATATAATTAGATATTATATGATTGAGACATATTTAATGGGATATTTTCTCAGGTGCGTAAATATTTGACTAAATTTTCTGTTTCCGATACTTTTCTAACAGACGCGAACTCGCCTCTTTAGATTGCTAGATTATAATGTGTGTGTTTCCAGTATCCGGCTCAAGAATTTGTTCTGAACTTCGGCAATCTGCCAGAGCAGGTGTCGCAACGCGAAGAATACGATCAGACGCAGCTGGCTAGTATTCTACCGAAGAAGTATAGCCACTCGAGTCGCGTCAACTCGGACGCGGGTGCGCACTCCACAGGTGACATTTACGGCGCCGAGAGCCAATGGTCCACGAAATTGTCGAAGACGTCGTTCCAGCCGAGCTTCGCCTCGAATCGCGTGGCCGGCGAGTCGAAGAGGGGCCGCGGCAGAACCGGCAACGATCAGGAGAACGAGAACGCGCCCGAGATCATTACGGCCGGGCCGGAGGTGTCGTCGGTGACGATGGTCGTTTCTTCCGACTATCAGAAACACCCGAGTAACGCCGATAGCGTGGACACGACGATGGATGGCTTCGGGTGGAAAACGAGCGCACAGGATCACACGGAGAAATTGAACGCCACGACGGCAGTGACGAATCCGCCGACGGCGGCGCTTCAAGGTCAAAACGATAAGGAAACGTTGCCGGAATCGCGAGACTGGACGAGCAGCAAGAACGAGAACCTTACGGAACAAATGGACAGCGCGAGAGTGACGAGACCTGACTCTGTTACCGGTCGAAAGGTAAATTATTCTTTCAGATAACAGTAATCTTGAATATTTTTGTGAAATAAACGACTCAGAGCAAAGTCCCTTGTTACAAAATAGGCTCCTGATATGAATCGGCGAGTTTTCGACATCCAATTTCACTAATCCTTCTCGCAACGATTACCCGGTCAGCAAAATGTTAACAGATTGACAGCAGATTCATCAGAAACCCAGATCCACAAAATTTAAATGCAGATTTTCAGGCGCCATGTTGAATCCAACATTATAAGTTTTGTAAACCTGACTCCATACGTATAGTCAGCAACCTGAAAAACTTCCGAGTACCGAGGTCCAAATAAATCAATTGTATTTTTTGTAATTTTGACCCTTTACATTGGCTCCGCCATCTTGGATTCTCAAATTTTTTCAAGTTTTGACTTGAGATCAGAAATCAGCGATCTCAAAAATTTCCAGGTACCCAGTTTCGGAATGTCGTTTACTTATAGGAAAAAATTTTTTACTACAAAATATCTTATAGAAAACAAAATTTTTTAAGTCAAACTTTAACTTTGATCTGCTATATTTTCTTGGGAAAATTTACTTTAAATGAAATTAAAGTTTTTAACAGTAATTTTTCAAATCTAAGAGTTTACTTTAAAAAGTTAAAAGTGTACTTAAGAAATTTTAGAGTAATTTTGGACACAAAGTAACTTTTAGATAGCCAAGCCTGTCGAAGTTCCCGCTAGAGGGCCGCGTGGCACAACACTTTCTCTTAAGAAGAAAACCGCGGTATCATAAATTATATCACATACTTTACACAGTTCTTAAAGTTTTCTTTTAAATTCTTAAAATAAGTTTCAAGTTTACCTTAAGTAACAGTTTAAAGTGCCCAAACTTTTCGTATCTCTTATATTTCTAAAGTAAAATTTTAAGAGTTTTTTAAGGTACCCAGCAAACACCAAAGTAACAGTTACATAACATCGATATAAATGTAACATAAGGCATGCCTGTTATATTAAATTTGCATTGATGTTATGTAATTATTACTTTGGTGTTTGCTGGGGTATATTTTCCTAACACTTAAAGTAATTTACCTTACCTTTAAGTTTACCTTAAATAAAAGTTTGAAGTGTCCAAGTTTACTTTTCATATTTCTTTTTTTTAAGTACCTAAAATTTTAAGGTTTTCTGATTTTCCTAAGGGTTGAGTCAGCCACCGATAATTTTAGATCTTTCACTTCAGATTCAGAATCAGCAAACCAAAAACCTTGTAGGTATGAAGTAGTAGAGACATCGGAGAGAAAGAAGTGTTGGTTTCTTTAACTTCGGGAGGTGTAGCTTCAAAGGATTAAGCAGTAAATTCGAACGTAATATTGCAATTCAAGTCCCTACCGCGAGTCTTTCTTCGTCACATTCTATCCCGCAGAGGACGATGCAAAATAAATCGGGGAATTTATCTTTCAGACTCGAAGGAGGAAAGTTCGCGTAAAGGTAAGGCCTCTCGTGGATGATTTCGTCACCGCCGAATCCCAACACTACAACTCTGCGGTGAACAGCCTGGCTCAAGATCAATACAAGTACAATCCGATTCGCGACTCGAGGTTCACCACTGCCCAGCCGATTGCGACGACTGTCACCGCAAGTACTGCGACGGCCGCGGAGTCGGTCAAGAAATCGCTCCTTCAGGGCTTCCTGGAGGAGATGCTGAGGAACGACGAGGTCTCCATCCCGACTCGCGTCACGTCGGTCACCACGGAACCCGACTGGGCAACATCGACACCCACGACGACACCGATGACAACGCCGTACGTATTTTCCGAGGACGGCGAAGTCACAACCTTGAAAGAGAATTACACGCCGTTCGATACGACGCCGATGCCGAGTATCGACGGAGAACCCGTCACAACGACCAATGAAAGTTTTAACGGATCGAAAACCGAGTCCTGGGAAGCGACATTTGAGAGAACAACTCACGCGTCGCAGGCTGAAGTGCAGAAAGAAGCTAAACCGGAAGAATACAAGGATTCTCAGGAGGACAAGCAGAATAATTTGGAAAACGTCGAAATCTTCAATCAAAGGTATAACTCGCCATCAAATTATCCCGATAGATCAGGGATCTTGAGGAAAGAAGAGGAGGAGGGCACGACGGAACCGACCGGCTTCCCGTCTGCGAAGGAAGAAACGCGCAAACTGAGTGCCGTTGGCAAAGAGAAGGAACATATAATGACGTTAAAGAGGCAGGAAAGCGTCGAAGATAACGAGGCGCACCCGAAAAATCATAGGACCAAGTGGAGCGAGGTGAAACACCCGTCGACCTTCGACAAATCGCAAGCTACGTCGAGTTCGTACTCGACGACGACGATCCCCGGTGTCGTTACGCGAGACGAGGGCGACGGCAGCGTGAAAACGCTCTCCGATTACGTGAAGGCCATCTTCGACAGCATGAAGAACGCCGAGGGCGAGGAGGAAGAGATCGCCAAAGTGATCGAAGCTAAAAGCGAGGCAGACAATTACGATTCGAATGACACCGCCTCGGCACGCGCGGCGAGCGCGGAAGAAAGTGAAAAGATCGATCGAAAAGCCGGCACGACTGGCTCCCCGCAGGACATTTCTGCAACGCAACGTGTCGACGTTGAAGAGAACCGGCCGAGAGCCGAAGAAACGCGGGAAGCGACAACGAAGAAGAGTGCTAGCACTCGCGAAGCGACAACGAAGAAGAGTGCTGGCACTCGCGAAGCTACTACGCTAGTTCCAGATACGACCGCAAGCACGGTGGCGCCGTCCAAGGAGACAACAGAGCCTTCCACGACGACGACGAAAACGGCAACGTCGATCAGACAAACAAACAACGTGTTCAGAACGAACTCCACGATGTTGGGAAAGGTCCTGAGAACCTCGACTACTACCAAGGTGTCGCACATGACGGAGATTTGCTACAGAGGTCGATGCGTGATGACGAGGCCGAAATTGGAGGACGTCATGACGAGATGAGGGAAACTCGATGATTCGTCGATCCGGTTGTGGGATTATCTTTAGCACTTTCCTGTCCGATTGTCGAGAAACAAATTATCACGTGACAAGCGAAAATCTTGAGAATTATACATTGAATATCGGTCGTCGCTGAGAAACGCAGTGAGACGCACCGAGTATTTTAGCAACGTGTGTTTGTATGCGTTAATTTGGAATAGAAAGGACAGTTCTCTCCGAAGAACCCAATAAAAAGCTACGAACAATCGAAACCCTCACCGGACAGAAAAGTGCGTAACTTTTGCACCTTTTGCATAACCTTTATTTATTGATAGAGATATATCGCGTTAACAAATTAAATCTCTAAAAATTGTTACCTTCATCTCCTTTCAAATTGCTCTTCGTGCTTACGATTCTTTCGATCACACACGTCGAATCATGAATAAAAGAGTATCATTTCCCGGGGAAAAATGGAAATGTCTCATTATATGTGTCTCAATCATGTAATATCCAATTAAATCCAATTCTAAAGTCGTAAGATTTTCAGAGACCTTGTACTTTTAGCGAACATGTTATTATCTATGGAGATCTAATTAAATGTCCCAAGCGAGCGTTTAATTAGATTTAGTTAGATCTCAGTAGACAACCTCGAGCATTCAGATTCGATCTGATGATTTTCAGAATTGGATCCCACGAGATGTAATTTGATGTCGCACGATCGAGACGTGTGTGAGATTTTTCAATTTTTTCCCTGGATTTTTACATCATAAAAAAATAATCGCTCGACCTAAAATACCTGGTTAAATTACGGCGCAGTAGCAGAACTAAATTGATCACCAAGCTTCCATCTCATATATGTGTACGTATAAACACGTAAGGAATGATCAATATTCTCTTCGGGCACTTTCATTTAGAGAAGATATTTATCGCTGGGAGATAAGGCATCGCTCAAGATGTCGCGACAAATTATGTGTATCGGGGGGGGGGGGGGGCTAAAAGCGAAATGCCGACATGATATCAATTGTGAAAAGGGTCGTCCCCTTTCTGGAAAGGAAATTCTGCGTCGTCGACGACAAATCGATCGTCCGTCGCGACGCGCACTTATAAAAAGGGCGCCGAGAGTGTGTGTCGGCGTCCTTCCAGCGAGATCGAAGCGTGGAAACTCGACTCGCACGAGCGACCGCGTATAGGGAGCTAAGTCTATTTAATTTAACTACAGAACCTGTGTAGTATACGTGTAAGTTAAGCGTGTAAGTATTTTAATAAAGTGAGAACGCAAAAAGAAGTACATTCGATTCCCTTTCCCGCGGCAGCCCCGAGCGCGGCGCAGGATATTTTAGTCCTCCCAGTTGCGAGTCTTTTATTCGCTTCAAGAAAGAATGGAATTTTTACAATATATTTATAATTGTATATATATAATTTATATAATATTATATAATTTATATATACCGGTACTTGGGAAATTTTCGTGAGATCCACGTGGGGACTGATTTCAAGATTCAACCCGCCGTCCTAATAACTTATTCTTCGCTCTTAAAGACGAGTTTCATCTCGCGCCCTGGCCAAAATCCACCCTTACGTCGCCATCGATCGGCAAGGTTCGACCCCCCTCGTGCAGATGGTGCCACGCGACGGAGGGGGTGGCATTCCGGCAGCGGAAGCACGACGGGGGAAGCTCGTACAGGGACCTCACACCCCCTCGTCGTCGTCGTGCGAGCGGGGCGGCTATGTGGCACGGGAAGCGGCGAAGGGCGAGGAGCGGACGAGGCCACGAAGTGGGGTGCAACGAGTAAACCGTGGGGCCGCGAGGGTGAGGCGAGGGGGCGAGAGGGCGGACGAGAACGACGTAGTGAGAGGAGTCACAGTTCAGTTGAGGCGCAAGGGTCCTCCGGCTAAGGACTACGGTCCCTGGCAGTCCGGGACATTATGCCAGGCGGCGAGGGGTCCCCGATCAATCTCCTCGACCACCACCATCATCATCGCGCGTCGGCCACGTCCACGACGGACGAGTGCGCGAACGGCGACGATGTTAGGACCGCGTCGTCGGCGACGAACACCGGCGCGACCTTCACCAGCGCGATGACGAGCGCCCTAGCGGGCGACGGTCTCCGTCGCAGAAAGGTCATACACGCGGCCCGAGAGACCCTCGATAAGGGTGAGTCAGGCGCCACTTCTTCGTCCCTTCGCGTTTCTCTCGCATCATCGTCGTCGTCGTCGCTTACGAAACCCCGTGCAACCGCGGCACCCGTCGCCGCGGACACCCAGCCCCGAGTCCTCTTCGACTTTCTGGTGCACGGATATCGGGATCGATCTTCCTTCCCCGAGATGCCGCCCGATAGGCGGAACGCTCTCGGATCCGTTCCTGGCCCCGTTCAACCGAGTCGCCGAAGAGCGACGTGTGTTAGCGCCGATTTGCGAATCGGCTGTGGTCTCTCGACGTACGCGCGCTTCTAATATTGAGATCAGTGATTGAGAGATAGATATGCGCGACCGTAAGATGCAAATTTAGATCTTGTAGATCGAACCACTCGCCGCGTTTAATTTATTATTAACCTGTCCCGTGAAAATACCTCGACGTTTCAGAAGTCAAACGTTTTTATATGCGTAATAACATTTGCAATACGTGCTCTAGTATTTAACTCGGCGCATTAACATAGCATTAATTACGGACGTTGTTTAACAAGCGACGCTAAAGCATAAATTCCACAAATTCGCGCGGTTACTTCCGCGTCCTCGCATTTTCGTTATAAACGCTTTCGCGAGTGCATTTGGTATGCCAGAATCGTTCCATTCGATGGATCCGCGAACACGACGAAACTCGTAAATAATACATAAATTTCCGGGGAGATGAATTCGTGCGGTTTCCGGTGATACGAAACGACACCGTCCTCGATTGATGGTGACAAATGTCTTCGCGGAAAAAACAAGTTTTATGTTATGTTCATCTCTTTTGATGACCCCGATGTTGCCGGACCGCCATGTTGCAGCTGCACTTTCGAAATGGTTGCTGTTATGGCATTCATGCGGGTTGCTATACATGCATCGCAGATACACCGAGATCTTTGCGCGCGATACATAGACATTATTTCATGTTTAATCGATAGAATTTCCTCCGAATGCCTGTCGCAATACACCCGTCGCGAAATTTTAATCTCCTGTTAATTATGCATCACACGTGTATAACGGCAGACCAATGTGAAATTTTAATTCGTATTTTTCTTTTTTTCTCCTCCCTGTAGAGATACAAGAAAAATAAAATAAATAAGAATTTTTTAATATATCATAAATTTGTAAAATAGACGCAGACGATAATACATTTAATATATTAATGTGTAATATATATTACTGTTAACAATATTAATATATCATTAATATATACATGTAGAAGGGAAGAGACAATGAATTAATTAAGAATAATGATTAATCGTTTTTAATAATAATTGAACAATTATTCCCTCCTTTTTTAATCAAATACGAAAAATAAATTGAAATTGAGGCTAAATTACTTAATATTTTCTTCAAATGGTACAAGACTTTTCGTGATATAAGATTTTTAAATAGTTTATAAGAAGTAATTTGTTTAATATAAAAGTCGAAATTTATAGAAATAACTACAGTCCGGGAAATGCGGCAGTTCTACGTGGTCAGATCTCATCATTTCTCCTCGGTGTACTTTACGTGCGCACGGGGGTTACGTAAGAATCTCTCGCACGTGGGCTGAATGCATTATGTATGTGTGGGTGTGTGTGTGTGCAATAAAAATGGCTCGCTGCTCACTCGATGTATGTAGATAACGGTTAGAGAATAATTATTACGTACAATTCAATAATAATAATAATAAAAGTCTAAAACAAACTGGATTTATTCAACAGAAGAATACATTGACATTTTAATAATTACTATTGTCAACTTTCAATTTACATGGAAATAAACTCGAGGATTGCGTTTAAAACACAAAGAGCTGTAGCGTCAAATTAGATAAACACAAAAATATACATTCATTCTTTAATTTACGTCATTTGTTTTTATATTTATTCGCGTTGGTTGCATACGCAAATTCTTAAAATATTCCCAGACACATGTCTAAAAGACGTCATAAAGATATCTTTCAGACATGTGTGTTGTCTGGGTTTATTTACAAGTTTTCACAAATCTTTAATTAAATTTAATTATGTTGTAAAAATCAAATTTGCTCTAAAGAGCCCTCTGTCCTCCAGAATATTGTGTTAAAGATTGAAAATATTTACAATATCATGTCTTGGATATGACAGTTGTAATATATTTTAAGACAGAATGGAATTTAGATAAGCCGCAAAATTTTTACATTTATCAAAGTTCTAAAAACTTCTGTCTCTTATATGAGATATTCGCATCGAAAGAGAAAACCGATTTTCCTCAAGGGAATATTTTACCTCCTAAAAATGCGTGTGGGCATAAAAAACGTGTCCCTTATTTTTATCTAGAAAATAACGTATTAAAAACTCATCAAAATCGGAAAGGGGCACCTTGTGAGGTTTCCTCCTGTTAGTAATAAATTTCATTAGCACGAAATCCACCCGGGACTAGTTCTGAATTGCTGCCCAACTTCATTGAAAACGTTAACTCGCATTCGTTCGACAGGCGGTGCGAAATTTACTCAATGTAAAACTCTACCCAGTTTCATATACGTATCTTTAATCTCTCGTTTTAATGTAAATATACCAGCGCGTTAACTTTAAATCTTAATTGAATTAAATTGAATTAATAGGAAAATTTAGAGCAGACGCGTGTTTCTGTGCTGTACGTTCTCCTAGTTGTCGAATTTTGTAAATGTTTAAAGAGGACAGCTTCGGTAATAGCAAAAGGATTGAAGGATCGGCAGTGTCCTTAGGAAATACAGCTCTCAGAAGACATAAAGCTTAGAGGAACGTTTAGCATTTGTTAACGCTAAGTCGGTCTCAATTGTGCTGCTCCGCTACGGCTACTCGACCTGTTTTTGTGTCACATCGCAATTGCGCATTGAACCGAATGATGTGACACACTGTGCATTATCTATATTGTGTATTATTTACCGATTGCAGCTTAAAATGTACGTGGAGTTGAAAAAGAAGGAATAGTTGATGTCACGATTTCAATATAAATTCTCAGCAATTATTTTCAGTAATTAGTTCTTGGTATCCGCGATGTAGCAAAGAATAGCTTGACGGCTGTGGAAAATGTGAATATTTGCGATACGTCACTTTTTCGTTTGGGTATTTATAAATTATTATCTAACGATTTCTTTTATATCGACTCTTTTTTTGCTATAAATTTAATTAAGATTTGAGTACATGACATTATGTGCTTTTTAATTTTTTTCAGTTTTATGCATTTTCCTTCCTATATTATGAATTTCCACCTGCTATCCCGGAAGACTTCGTAAAAGAGGAAATTTCTGACGTACTAGACAACCGAGTTAAAACCCCCACCAATAAGTTAAGTAAAGAAATTTATGCAACGATATTTTGTTGGTGCACGGTAACTATTCTGTTAAAAATTGTTGCAAAGGAATCTATAGTTTACATATAATATACTTTTAATGAGAATATTATGATATACATAAGTCGTAATATAAACAACCTTTGCTTGGTGATTGCAAATTAAGATACAAATCGATACGATGTAAAGTAAAAGTGCTTTAATGCAGAATAATACATGGTTTAATAGAAATGTACATTTCCTATCACTTCGCGCCTTTCATGGAGAAAACTTTAATTAACGTCACATTAGATTTCTTGTAAATTATAAGCTCAATCCTCGAGTCCACATTTCTAACTTTCAATTTATAATTCTCCACTTGCAAAAAGCCGTGTAGAAAATAAAAAGGTGAACAATTGAAGACAGTGCTGGCGAAATGGACCTCTTGCGCTTTAATTGCGGGAAATAAAAAAATTCATGAAACGTAGAATAACTTTTAAAAGGTATTACATTTGTTCCCAGAAATGTTATAAAGAAATACATGCACCAGCAATCACTTACAAAGGAAATAAACGAAAGAATTTTGGTGTTTATTGACGAAAATCGTTAATGCATTCCTTTTTTTTGCGCTCCTGCGCACCCCTTGCGGGCCCAGAAACCACATATAAGATATTGAACCCACCGTTACCTTGGCGGTCTATAATGCAAACACCATTTTGTGAAACAATACCGACTATAAAAAATGAAGAGGACCAAATATTGGCTTTCAGGCTTTCGCGGCTGTTGTCTTCTTTAGTCTTCATGGCTTCCGGATGGTTGCCGCGTCCGTTTGCAGTGTGGTGCCGACGTTTCGCAGGCGTTGCAGTCTGCTTCATCAGGGCTGGGAGACTCTGATACTGAGCTCCCTCGCGTTGCGCTCGTCCTTTTATACTCGTTCTTGGGGGAAGGG